TCGTCGTCGTCGTCGTCGTCGTCGTCGTCGTCGTCGTCGTCGTGGGCGGTGGTTGTCGTCGTCGTCGTCGTCGTCGTCGTCGTCGTCGTCGCCTTCGTCGTTGCCGTTGTCGTTTCCGTTGCAGTCGCCGTCGTGAGCGTCTTTGTCGTCGTCGTCGTCTTCATCGTCGTCGTCGTCATCTTGGTATTTGTCTTTGTCATTGTCTTTGATTTCCTTCTCTGCCTGACTCTTTGTCTTTGTCTTTGTCTTTGTCGTCGTCGTCGTCGTTGCCGTCGTCGTCGTTGCCGTCGTCGTCGTTGCCGTCGTTGGCGTCGTGCTCTTGCTGCTGCTGCGGCTTCAGCTCCTCCCGTTTCCCCTCCGCCTTCCCCCTCCTTTTTCTCCTTCCCCTCCTGCTCTTACCCTCTGTGGCTTGTGCTCGTCGCTGGGATGGACGGGGCTCAAGAAAGTCCCCAAATGCCAGCGGGGCCGCGTCCGCGACTAGCACTTGGCGCAGAAGGAGGACGATTTTCTTTAGAGATTTTAGTGCAGCATGTGTCTGGGCTGTTCGCTCCCGAGGAGGCGTGTGAATCGGCTCGTGTCTTCTCCACTTACGACTGGTTCAGCTTGCTTTAACCTGACGCGGTTCGTCGCTTCTCGAACTTAGCTCATTTTGCGTGGCTCAATGCAGCGTGACTTGCTTGGATGTTTATCCGCCAAGCCGCGGACTCTAAACATGTGTGGGCGGTGAGCGGTAGAGCGCGTTGCGTGCGCATCGGGCTGTCATTGTTGGTTCGTGTCCCGGTGTAAGTGCGCTTTTGTTCCGGGCCGCTCGGCCTGTGACTTGCTCTGCTCTTGAGCCCCGCGTGGGCCTTTGTGAAGAAAGGCGCTCCTCCTTTGTGAGCGAGCGCCTAGAGGCATGTGTGCATGGCTGCCGTATGCTGCAGGGCAGCGACGTCGATGGTCGCATGGGTCCGGTCAATGAGTGCCGAGGGCAACTTCGCCCCACCGCGACGCGCGGCCCGCCCAGAGCTCCGCCAGTGGTTCTGGGTGGGCGCGCGAGGTGGCGTGCTTGGCGAGCCGTGTCTTTCATGACTTGGTGCGCAAATTGCTTGTCTGACGGGGGTGCAGGTCAATCGAAAAACGGGGAGCAGGGAAGATTCTTCGCCGTCGGCATCGTGCTCCTCGTCCTCCGCCCCCTCCTCCTCGCCCTCCTCCGTCCCCTGTCCTTGCGACTAGTTTTCGTTGTCGGCCAACCAGACGTGCCAGTAGGACGGGCTGGGTGTTTCGGCTGAGACCGCCTCGCCGTTTTTTGATCCTGAAGCGTGAAAGGGTTACACGGATGGGTGGCAGTTGGTTTTCTCCATGTGGCCCTGGCCTTAGCGCCGCGTGTATTCGTGATTTCAACAGCTGCAAGGATGGAGGGCGGGCCATTGCAAATTGTGGCTCTCGCTTCTGTACCGCGCGAGTTTGCCGCAAAACTTCCAGCAGTCATAAGTCATACGGATTGAGGCTCAAGTGGTGACAGTTGGCTCAAGTGGCTCAACGGTGGGGCCGCTGACGGAGGGGTGTCTTGTCCGTCCCCGTCGCGCGCGTTCCGCGGCGCGTCACATCAGCCTAGGACAAGCCATGGCGCAGAGCTGCCGTGTTTGCCTGGCCCGCGGCGTACAGGGCCTCGCGCTGCCAGGCAAGAAACTTTGCGAGGCACACCAGCATTTCCACTTGGACCTGCCTGGCGCAGCGGCGGCAGCCCAGCCGCCGCTGTTCCAGCCGCTGCGGCACTCCTGCAAGCGGCTCCGGCGGCGACCCCCAGCATGGCGGCTAGCGACAACATGAACACCGAGGCCGACGTGGACTGCTCTGGAGCTGGGGACTTTGCCTCTTCAGCTCGGGGCCGCTCTACCGAAACGGGCCTCTCTCAGGAGGTCGCACGGCTGGCACGTCAGGTGCCGCCAGGATTGCAAGTGGCGCATGCACCCGCTGACTTCGCCGATCGCGAGCTGTACGAGTTGGGCGGGAGGAGCTCCTGGGCGCACGCGCACGTGATCAACGCCCTGGTGTCTACTGGGCAACTGCAGCCTACCAGCTTGGCTCGATCATCTCTTACATGATGGCCGGAGTTATGGCGTTTCTTGGCATCATTGGCTTTCCGGGCGGACCTGGACGACCCCTGGGCGCGTTTGGGTCTATGCCCGTATGACGGGCCGCCGCCTGATGCTGCACGCATAGCTCGTCGTTGGGGGCGTGCCAGGCTGTTCTTATCTTGCTCGGCGGCGGCGGACTGGCCAGTGGATGATCGTGACCTGGCCGACACAGCGCGAGACAGGCTGGAGCAAGCACATGCCCTTTGTACGGAAGACCTTCCTCGTGTACCAGCAGTCCGTTTGCGTGAGCGCGGTGATGCCCTTCCTCGGTGGCAAGAGCTTGGTTCTACGGCGGTGGAGCTCATGCTGAACACGCTGGCTTCGAGGGGGAGCTTAAGGCCACACAGCTGTCCGATGTCGAGTTGCTTCCTCAGCACATGCTGGCACACCCGCGGTTACTCGATTCTGGGCAGGCCCGTCGCCTAACCCAGACTGCCGCCGAGGGCAAGGATTTCTTCCCTTTGTTGGGCACTGGTGGGGCGGTCATGTGGGCTCCCACCGACTCGGCAGCATTGGGGCGCCTGCTTTCGAACTACATGCGCCGAGCAGCCCTGGAACAACAGCACCGTCCCTTATGATTACTCGTGCCGCTCGACTTGTACCCAGGCTGCGCCGCGGCCAGTATGATCAAGGACTTGTTCTGGCACGCGCTTATGGGGAGCGTTTGGTGCGCGAGCAGACGTTCGTCCATCAGGAGCTGCGAATTGTCACATCGGGGGAAGGCGGGCCCGCGAACCACAAAAAGGGGCTGTTCTTATCGCTACGGTATCTCCCCACCTGCCAGTGGCCGTCCCTAGCGGAGCCGCTCTTCAGCATGAGCGTTGGCCAGTCCCTCGTTGTTGATTGCCCGGCCTCGCGGCTACCAGCAGCAGTGGAGACCGTTGGGGCACCGCGAGCTGCCAGGGTCGGCCCCGTTCTCCGGAGCCCGTCATCGTCGGCAGACTTACCCATAGCTCGTTTCGAAGTATTTTTACCCACCGGCCGGGCCAGTGACCTCGATGTCGCCCTCCTCATCAGACACCTTCGACATGCGCATCTCCCAGCAGGGGCTATGGTGGGATCTCGGCAGGTTGACTCGGACAACAGCTGCCAACTGGTGGATCTGACGGCCCCATCAGCATTCTATTTGTGTGGCATCTCTGCGAGGAGGCTGTCTTCATCAAGCCGAAACTGGTTAACTGTTCGCACCGCCCGGCAGCCCAAGGAGTGGCGGCACATGCTGGACCAGATGCTCGTGGAGGACACGCGCAATTTCATTTTGAAAATCCGCGACCGCCCTTCGAGGCAGGGAGGGCGCCCCTGGGTCACCCCGACGGCAACTCCGCAGCACGTGACATCGATCCGTCGGGCCCGAGGCGGGAGGGCAACCTGGGGAGGGCAGGCGTCCGAGACGTCCAGGTTAATTCTGGCGGGAGGCCTCGGCCATGATCCAGCACGGGTTGCTAGGCAGATGACAGGAGGTCATCCGAAGCAGGACCGGCATTGCGCTACGAGAAGCTGGAGTGGAGGCATGGGCGGCGGGAGGTGGGACTTGGTTCCGCCTCGCGGATCACGACCCTACTGCCCATCCTGGCAGGTTGCAGCTTCGCCTGGATTCGTTCGACGACGCGAACTGGATCATGCGCGAGGTGCACGGGCGTGCTGTGCAGCTGGGGTCGGACCTCATCAGCGTGGGCTTGACGAGCGATGAGTTCGAGGCGCTGCAGGGAAACGGCATGCAGGGGCGGGGTGGCTGGGGCCCCGCTCCCGCGGCGTCAGCCCCGAATGGCCAGGTTTCTGGCCAACGCCAGGCCTGAGTGCAAGTTTTTTTTCAAATTGAGGTCACCACCATGTCTGGGTTACGATATTGGGTGATCGATGTCCGACCTGTTGACCATGGCGATGTCCCCTCTTGTTTCCAACCTGATGCTCCGCAGCTTTGCATGCACAGTTTGACCCTCGCCTGCCCGCTCGCCGCGCTGATCGTTGTGATGCTCCTTTACGGCCACATCAGTCTACCTCCCCGTGCCGGCGAGGCTCGTCGCCGCGATTTGCGGCGAGCTGGCGACAGCCCTGCAGATCTGGCAGCTGACATATCTTCAGCCGTCAGACTGCCGTCGTTGCCGCGCTCCCAGCCTGCGCCGAGGCTGCGCTCCAGGCCGGCGCCAAGGCCGCCCTCTCACCCGCCAGGTCACGCTCCAGCCTGTGCTGACGATGCTCGCCCTGATGGTGACGGCGGCGGGCCTTCCGTTCACGGCCTGGCGATGGCCCCGTTTCGAGGGGAGTTGCAGGGCGCCGTCTGAAACGCGCGGGCTCTCTTCGCTCGGAAGCGCCGGCGGCGCAACGATGAGGATTTTTGTGTCACACGGCTTCTTCGATCTCGGGACTTCGTCGCCATCTCGGGAACGCGCGGTCTCGAGAGGGGCGGTTGCGCCTGGGGCTGCTCTCGCGACTGCACCTCCTGGTTCTCGCCAGGCACTTCCGCAAGGCGGCGTCGGCCTCGTCGTGAAGAACTCGTTCTTGAGCATGCTCGACTCTGCGTTGACACGCTGGGAGCACATAGTTCCAAGACGAGCCGGAGTCCTGCGTCTCGCGGGCCCGATGGGTGTGCTGGATTTGTGCGCGTTGTGCAGGCGCGCCAGCAGCGCTGATGTGCGTTGCCGCATGGCTCGCGCCATGATGCCGGCTGACACCGCGCTGCCTATCCTGGCTTGGGGCTTCAATTGGGTACCAGATGCTCGCGGCCGCTTCAAGAAGGATGCTGGCGAGTATACGGGGGGCCGTGATTCTGGAGACAGGAGGCACTTCCCGAGCACGTTGGCGCGCCCCTTCGGTTTGTGCGAGCTGCGGCAAACCGCCATGGCGCGGGGCAGTGCTTCAGCACGC